CTCCCCCCACCTCCCTGTATATATAATATATATTAAAAAATAATAATACTCTCGGTTACTAATTTGTTCTTATGCCTTTTACTTCATCCTTTCCCTGTCAAGTGAGATATTGCTTGTTGGTGATGTCGCTCTCTGGAGAAAACTGTGGTAATCTTTACCTTTCAGTATTGCTGATAGGTTTTCCTTGAGGTGAAGTCTCATTAGAGAACATCCTCAGAACGTTTTTGGCACCTTAAGTTCAAAATCTTCTTTCATGTGGAAGGACTTCCTTTATTACTCTCTAAGAGATTATCAAGCTGACAAGGGTGGTTGGGAAATACTTAATGTGAAATGGATCGCTGTGTTAAGCTGTGAGCCTTGTCCTGCCTGTCCTTTGGGCAGCGTCTGGAGTTCAAACCTCACCTCTCCTGGGTTGTCTATAAAAACTGCACGTGTATGGGTTCGGTTTGACATAACGAGTTTCCGTAAACTCACATCCCTTCAATGTCCTGGTTGCCTTTTCACCTTTGTGCTTTCTGCGTCAAAAGCTGACAAACTTCTTTTTATTGCAGGCAAAACAGAAAACAAGAAGATATCTTGGCATCGTAGGTGCTGCCTCATGTCTGCCTGATTTCACTGATGCTTCCCTTTGGCTCTCTGGGAGGCAAATGTAGCTACTGCAGAAATTTTAGCTTCTCAGAGGACTAGGAACAGTGAAAATTCCTCTTTTTCAGGTGCTGGAGAACTCTAGCAGTGAATTAAAAGTAATGGATGGCATGGAAGAGATGGAACTATCTGCTGCAGAACAGCAGGGACAAGATATTGTCATGTGCAGTCCAGAGGAGGAGACCTGCACAGAGACTGACTTTGCTCATTCTGAAGAACCCCAAATACATCAGACAGGTGAATACCTTAAAGCTGCTTCGTATCGTTTGTGTGGTATTGCTGGGGCCTTACAATTATTCTAAAGGTTTATGATAATCTAAATATTGCTCTTTGAAATCACCATCATTGTAGCTTGGTTAATCTGTGTATGCTGTTAACGAAACCCGCTTCAGCTGGTATGACACGTTGCACATGAGAAAACAGTGCCCCTCAGATTTTTCTGTATAGTTTCCATGTTATATATGAAGGAGGAAAGCTAATATAAAAGGCTTGAAGTACAAGAAGTAAATACAGACAGTTTATATGAAGGAGGAAAGCTAATATAAAAGGTACAGTACAAGAAGTACATACAGACAGTTTAGGGTTTGGGTTGGCTTCTTTTTTTTTTCAGTAAATGCAGAAAGCAATACTGTTTTTTCAGCTTTGGCAGCATCACACTAACCTTTCAAAAAATGAATTATTATTTTTCAGATGTTTCATGTAGTGTTTTGACATCCATGGGCAGAAATCCTGTTGATACGGTAAGTTGACCTTCAGGTTTATTTGAGTAAGGCAGTCTGCGTGTTCCAGTACTGTTAACCTTTCCTACGGAATCAGTTACTGCACGAAGTAAATTAAACTCTAGAAGAAGTTACCAAGCCAGTTCATATAACTTACTCTAAATATAAGCCCCAATTCCCATCTCCCTGCTCGGGCTCACACTGATACTCCTTATCGCATATGATGAGCGTAGGATCAATCAAACATTTGTAACAGAATAATGTCTGATTTCTATCAGATTGATCCTTTAAATTATGTTTCTGGTAGATTTCCTTGTAAATATTTACTACCATGAGGAATGGCCCAGCCTTCTCCTTCCACTTTCTTCTTGGAGTTTTCTAGGTCTGTCCCATCCCTTTTTTCTTGCACTTTTATCTTTCAGAGCTGGAAGAACAGGGAGAAGCAGGTGTGCAAAAACTTGCAAATTGTTGCAAGAACTGGGGTGTACAGTTTCTTTGGTCTCATGTGAAAAGTCCTCTTATATTTAAAATATGAGTTACTGCTTGAAATGGACCGCAGATTCACATCTTATTTTATGTTTGGAAACTTGCAAAATTTCACTTAGGAAAGTCATGGTACTTACAGGGGTATGTGATTTTGAACTGTGGCTGTTGCTTTGCAACCGTGTCGTATATAAGCAAGCACATCTTAACATACTCTGTATATCTACAGAATCTCTGCAGGTTTCAGATCTGCCTGACAGAGTGGTGCTTTGCTTATTTGAGCACCGCCATGTGCCCACAGTGCTGAGTGAGAGGCAAGAGCGTGGCATGCTTCTCCTGTTCCCTTGGCAAAAGCATTTTCTGCTCGTTTTTGTCCTACATTTCAGTGGCCTCTGAAGTAGGCAGGCACCTGACATACGTGAGTGAGCATGTCAGTAACCACTGTTGGTCTGGTGTTTATACAGATGTCATCAGAGAAAGGGGAATTTGCTTTTTAGCTTATTTCGTGTCTCGTTGCAGCGGTGTTTTGCAGAGTGGATAATTGTTCCTCAAACACTTAACTTCCCGCTCTGTTTTCTCCCACAGCCAATGCTGGATGCTGAGCTTCCCTTCACTCCCGTCAAGAGCCAAGCCCAGAAGTTTGCAGCAGCTGAAGCATTCAGTGACCTTATTGTATTTTCTCCCCTTTCACCCTCTGGGGAAAAATGAAGAGTGACTGGAAATTCAGAATGTGTAATATATTAACGAAAAAAAAAAAAAGCCCACAGAGAATATCTGGAATACGCTCTGCTACTTTTGAACTGTGTTCTGAGTGAATGAATACCTGTAGTATTTTGTAGTAGAACTTATTAAAATATTTTGTAAGGTTTTACGGTGCAGTCATTCATTATGCACCGTAAGTACCGCTGTATATTAGTAGCGGAGTGTTTGGTTTTACCTGCTGTATCTGATGATTGCATATTCTTACTACAACCTGCAATATTTTTATTTTTGTATAATTTCATGTACTTCCTGTCTATGTCGAGCTATAAAACTATTAATCTTTAAACTTTTCTGTTCCTGACCTTGCTTACCTCATGAATTATCATCGCGATAACAAGATGCCTATCAGACTAGCTTTACCTTATTTTGGGGGGATTGTGTGGGGGGGAAGACTCGGCCTGTTGCGCCCCCCCAAAGCGCTGTTTCATACCGCGTCGCTGTTGGGAGGGGACTGTTGCACCCCCCCTTGGGCTCCACTATTCTGTGCGTTAACAACTCCGCCTGCTGCGCAGCTGCGGCAGGGTCTGGTGCGTGCAAACGCTTTCCTGTGGGAACCTTCCCTGTGTTTAACAACTTTGTAATAGTAGAAACTATCCCAGAACAAGGATTTTGGAGTCGGATACTGTCTTTTCCTGGCAGTGTATTAAAATAGGCAGTGATTGTTATTTCCTTTAAGGACACAGTTATCTATTGAATACCCTTAAGGACCTTCAAGCTAAACCTTATTCTCTCTTTGCTTTTTCACGTGAGAATCTCTTACCCTCTTTCTCTGACCACTTGACACGTTAACCTCAGCCTCTTCTCGCATCTTGTTCCTCATGCATTCTCTTACTGGAACTGTAATATATTTCAGCGTAGGGAGCATGCCAGTTATATACTTTATATTTGAGTAGTGGTATTAGAGTACCTCCAGTTGTTATATTTTTAACGAATACCTGACTGGGCGGCTTCTTGTAATGGTGACTTTAGTGTAACGGGCACATTCTTCCACTAGCCTTTATTTTAAACCAGGCAAAGGTGAGTCAAATCCCTCAGCAGAAGGCGTTGCCGCTACAGCTGGGGGAGCTCGTCGGACTGAAGTTTTAACCTGGAAGCTGTGTACTGGTTACGCTGAAATAAATAGAGGAAGCTAAGGCGACTTGGTGGTACTTGTGCTGGGGTCAACTTTCTTCATTACCAAACTCCAGTTACACGGATAGTTTCAAACAGATAGCTCTTACCGACTCGCCTGCTCTGTTCAGTCTTCAACACTGTGCGATACACAATAGTCAACGAGGGACTTCTGACATGTGACACATACATTTAAGCCGACGTTAGCGGTGTGCTGGGCTAAGCTACTGCATCCGCTGGAAATTTCAACACTCTGCTTGTTGGAAATTGGCATCCCCAGTATAAATGAAGCGACTGTTATAAAAGAGTATGAGCCATGTCAAAGAGATGCTGTTGCGCTGTTCTTGTTTTGCAGACAAGACCAGGAGAATGACTCACAGCGAAGGGAACATACTTTTATTTTTTTTTAGTTTTTACCAGCCTGACTCATGAGGTGAACTTGCCAATAAACCTCCCCACCCTTGAAAACCGGTCTTGACTCACACAGAAGCGATAAGGGAAGAGAAGCACAAGGCTCATGACCTGTTCCGTGGAGTATGTAACGCCTGTATAAATTGGATCTCCTGTGGGAGGGGAAGTGTGTTCAGGACATGCAGATTTGGGCCACCAAATGGGCGGAATGGGCCTTTGAAACAAAGGAGAGGGGTAACTTTTCTAGCCACGGTCTGGGGGAAGAAGTTTTACTTCCTCCAGCTCTGAAACCTGGTCAGGATCACAGGCTCTTGTTTTCCCCATCATCCAGTGTTTCCTCGAGGACAACTCCAGTGCGGTGACACTTCTGTGAGTTACACACAACCCATTCGCAGCCTGACCGTGCTCCTCCTCCCCGGGGGGGTGAACTTAAGTCCTTTGCTGTGCTGTTTTGGTTCTTTTAGTGAAAAAGGATTAACTGCTCTGCCTAGCAGAGCAACTGAGGCTAAAATTACCGAGTTCCTGACTGCTCCCTGCTACTTTGAGAAGACGGGGTTGGAGGTTGCTGCCCTAGGTTGTGACACTGGTGGTAGTACGCCACAGGCTGCTTTCCCCAGTGCTCCCCTCCGTGCAAATCCAACGGCTCCCAGTCATCATCCTTCAACAAGGAGATTCTCTACAGCCAGAATTCAGCCAAGTCCGTGTGTGAACTCAGCTTGCTGGAGGATGTCGTGGCTTTTGAGATCTTACTGAAAACAAATTTGACTGGTGAAAGTATGTTTTATTACCTCAAGGTACTCCTGTGAGAAGGCACTTCCGTTACAGCCATATTAAGAGCGCTAAGTTTGCATTAAAATGACACGGCCGTCGTTAGATCATGGTCGGCGTGACGCTGGTGAGGGTGACGTCCCCAGCAATGCACAGTTTGGTGATCTCGTTCAGCTTCTTCTCGCGGAAGCTGTACTGCAGCAAGTGAGCATCGTTGACCGCTACCTTGAAGTGATCCACCTCGCAAAGGATCTGGAGCTGGAATACAAACCCCCAGAAGATAACCATCAGATTTGTTCTGGGAAGACGTTTTAAGCCCCGCGCTCGAGCAGGCTGGCACTGGCCAAAGGCTGCTGCCACCCGAGTCCAGCCCGGTGGCATGTGGACAAGCTGGAGCAGCAACTCCCAACTGCAAACAAACGGGTGACCTCTGCCTTCCCCAAAGCCCGGCTGTACTCTTTCTCCTTCATCTTTTAGCCCACGGTTTCTGCTTCCTCGTGACTGCGACAGCGCTTTCAAGAAGCAGCGCCTCACGGTTCACGCAGCGTTCTCGCCAAACGTGAACCTATTTTGCAGGAAGAAAAAAAAAGCTGGTGGAGAGAACTTGGCCGCTAACGGGGAAAATGCGGTACAGAAACCTGCCCAACCACTGCAGTTGCGGTGTAAGTAAGGAGGATTTAATAATAAATGGGAATAACGGAGTGGGGAGAAGTTATAGCCCGGGCAGCTGGACCTGCGGGATGGGGTAAGAAGCGTGGGGAAGGTGTGGTAGGACCGGCTGTGCTGAAGTCCCAAAAGCACCTCTGGGAGCCGACTCCTATGTAAAAGCATCAAGGTCCTAATAGCGAGTCTCGTTACGCAGCCCTGACCGAGTCCCCGTGGTGCAGGTGCTGTTGGCACGTTAGGACTGAGTTTTGGGGTGGGTGGTTTGGTTTTTTTTTTGTTACCTTGAAGGGTTTTCCAGCTTCAAATGGAAACCGAGGAGCTGTCCTCTCCTCCTTTCCCCAGTTATTCTGGAACATCGAATTACACACGATGACTTTCCTGTTCTCTTCCGTGAAGCGGGGATTGAAGTGGAAGGCGATGTCATTCCCTTTCTTGAAATCCAGTGAAAACCTGCAAAAATACCCCCACAGACCCCGTTGGGCAACGACAGGGCATTTGTGCATTTATTTAGTGTAATATTTGATTTTAGACCAGGCAGGTGTTATTCAGGAATGGAAAGCAAATTCCAGGCTGTCATCCAGGAGATCCTGAACCCTGTGGACCCACCCACGCACCCACCCACCCTCAGCGCTGGACGCCCCCGGTACCTGCTTGGGTTGGGATTGACGGTCCCCGTGATGGTTATGAGCATCCGTGGGACGAGTCCTGCCTGCAGGGGCAGCTCAAAGGGGACTTTCTGGAAGATGACAGGGATTTGGTGTTAGCAAACAAAGCAGGTCAAAAGCCATGGGAACACAGAATCTCCTAGATTGGAAAAGACCTGTGAGATCATCCAGTCCAATCATTAACCTAACACTGACAAGCCCACCACTAAACCATGTCCCTCAGCGCTATACCTACATGACCCTTAAACACCTCCAGGGATGGGGACTCCACCACTGCCCTGGGTAATGCGTTCCAATGCCTGATGACACCTTCAGGAAAGAAATTCTTCCTAATATCCAATCTAAACTTCCCTTGGTGCAACTTGAAGCCATTTTCTCTTGTTCTATCACTTGATAGGTCAACTCCCACCTCTCTGCAACCTCCTTTCAGGCAGTTGTAGAGAGCAATAAGGTCTCCCCTCAACCTCCTTTTCTCCAGGGTAAACTACCCCAGTCCCCTCAGCCACTCCTCATAAGATGTGCTCCAGACCCCTCACCAGTTTCGTTGCCCTTCTCTGGACACACTTCAGCACCTCAATGTCCTTCTTGTGGTGAGGGGCCCAAAACTGAACGCAGCACTCAAGATGCAGCCTCACCAGTGCCGAGTACGGGGGTAAACAGACGTGGGCTGGGTCTCAGTGTGACAACAGCCCTGTGACACAGTGACACCCATGCCACCACCCACCCCCTGCAAGGACAAGCAGCCCCAGGTCCCTCCTGTGGCCAAGCAAAGTCAGACAGCGAAGACACAGAAACCCTTAGAACATGATGGAGCCCTTACCAAGGGAGGAGCCGGTCCTCCCTGAGGAGTGGGGGACCCAAATCCAGGGCCACTGGGCGGTTGTCCTGGGGCAGGATACGGCCCTGGTCCTGCTGGTGCTCCTGGATACGGTCCCTGTCCTGCTGGTCCTCCAGGGAATGTCCCTGGTGCTCCAGGATATGGTCCCGGTGCTCCAGGATATGGTCCTGGTGCTCCGGGATATGGCCCTGGTGCTCCAGGGTATGGTCCTGGCGCTCCAGGATAGGTGCCCGGTGCCGCTGGTGAGCCAGGATAGGTCCCTGGAGGACCAGGGTACGCCGGGAACCCCCCAGGAGCCGGTGGCTGGTTCCCCCAGGAGGGCCAGCCTTGGGGAGGGGGGGCAGAGGGGTTGGGGTTGTTGCTGGCGGGCAGTGCGTCGGATAACTGGGGAGAGAGGGGAGAGGAGGAGGTTAGGTGGGTGACTCTGATCCTGGGGTCAGGCGGGGGGGTGGGGGGTGTGCCTGCCCAGGCTGAAGTTTCCAGAAAACCAGTAAGTGCTGATGTAACTGGAGCAGATTTGGGAGTCACGCAGGCTGGTGAAGCCGCGCTCCCACCCCCACCCCAGGTCCCCGCTCTAAGGCGATCGAACAATCACAGCCCCCATGTTTTGGTTTTTTTTAAATAAAGCCATACTTACAGAGAAACCGTTTGACATTTTTCCTAAAACAAAAAGACAAAGGATGCTTAAGTCATTTCCTAATGTACACCATCCAAAAAATATGAGAAGAGTTACATTTTACAGCGGCAACGGGCTGGAAATTGGTAAGTCCCTGTCACATACCTGCCAGGCAGAGCCGACAGCTCCGGTGCGGCAGAACAAACCCTCGTCTGATACCTGCCAGAGAAATCAAGGGTCACGAGCAGCCTGAACGGCTCCGGGGGGGAATCCAGCCCGAAGACCCCCGGCATGAAATCGGCTGCTGCAGGGTTGATGTTGGTGCAACACCACCATTGACCTTACAGCATTCCCGGTGCCAAGCGGAGAGGGGACACCGGACTGTGGGGACCCGGTGCCGCTCTGCCCCAAGAGCTCTGGGCTCCCTCCAGCCTCTCGATGGGCTTTTGCCAGGTTTTTGCTCTTTTTGCTCGCGGGGAAGCACCGCATGTTATCACGAACCACGCGAGCACCCTCATCCTCCGAGAAGCGCGGCTCAATGTGGAGCTCTGCACTTGACCTAACGCCCCCCCAAAAAAAAAAATTGCCTGCGCCAGATCTGCTGTGCTCACACGTCAGGAAGATCTATTCCAGCCTCAAAACACTTTTTATAAAGGAAAAAAAAAAAATCAAAGTAAAAGAGCAGCGCGGTGAGATCTTCTTTCTGCCTGCAGCACACACACGGTCACCTCCCTGCCCCGGCTGCGGGGATCCGGGTGACACCCACACCCACGCAGCCGTTCTGTCCTGCACGCCGGCTGGCGTCACTCACTTCCCCATCCCCGAGAAGATTTCAATAAAAAGAAAAAAAAAAACCCAAATAAAATCCCTGAGTTTCGGCGGGGGAGAGCCGCAGCAGCCGACACCAGCTGCGCAAGGGGGCTACAAAACCAGCAGAGCACATCGGGGGACACGCGGCCACCCCACGACCCGCCGGACGGAGCCTGGGACGGCGGGAGAAGGGTGGCACCCATGGGTGGAGGTCCCTTTTCTCCCCCTCCCACGCATCCCTGCTCGCCCCATGTGGGCCGGAGGGGACCGCGGGAGGGACACCGGTGCCACCGGCCGCCCCGGGCCAGCGCATAAAAGCTGCTTGACAAGTTTTATGAGTCCACAGCGAGCGGCTCCGCTGCGGCAAGGCCAAACGCCGCAGACCCGCCTGCGCGCAGGAATAGCCGCGGCCCGGAGCTGGATTCCTCCCATCAAAGAGAGCATTCATAAAACGGGGAAGGAAAAAAAAAAAAAAAAAAAAAGGAGAGGCAGAAACGAGGAAAGAAAAGGAAAATTCCAAATTGAAAAGAGAGAAGGAAAATTGTCTTGGAAAGAAAAATTTGGATGCACAAAGGTCACGGCAAACCTGGCTGCCCGGCCTTAGGAATAACAAAACACCCCCAAATTTTCACAAGTTTAAGCCGGTCTCAACCAGCATCCAGAAGCCCGGGCTGTTTGAGCAGTTTGCCTTTCGCAAAGCTTTTCTTTGCCTCCTGGGGTATTTTTAAGGCCGTGGGTTTGCCGTTTGTTTGTCGGGTGAAGCCACGGGTGTGCGCGCAGCTCCCGCAGATGCCCCCAGGGCCGCATCCGGCCGGGTCGGCTTTGGTCGAGCCGCAGGTACGCGGCTGCCGATGGCTTGTGGTGCTCCGGCGAGGGGCAACGCCTGCCTCCACCGGGCACAGCCAAGGGACAGCCCCGAATATTCACCCTGGAGCAACTTTGCTCCCGTGCACGGGGTTTTTTATGCCTCAGCCCCAGTGGGGCGGCGTGGCAGAAGTCTCCCCGCAGGGGCTGCGATGGCCAACTTGATATTTGTAATCAAAGTCTTGAAAAAAAACACTTTTCCTGGTGTCACCAAGCCTGGAGCCTGGCGGTCACCCCATCCTCTCTCTGTCACTGCAGTGTTGTAGCTCTGGGACGTGTCCCCCTCTGGAAATGCTCCAGTGGGTGACCTGCCGGCTGCTGGGCTGTCACGGGTGTTGGAAGGGGTTTTCTCCCAAACTCAGCCCTGGGCAGCTCTGCCCTTCGGCGGCACCTCCACGGTGCATTTCCACCACCATTTGGGCTGCCGAACTTGAACTCCCTTCATCTCTCCCCGGCAGCTCTCTGAGCTCTCACCGACTCGACGGAGGATCGGCTGCAGGGAACGCCCCAGGGCAGACGTCTATAAAGCACCCCAAGTATTTCCTACATCCACACCAAGTGGGAAAACTTTTATTTGCGAAAGAAATAGAAGTTTTCTTCCCCTCGGTGCTATTTCTGCAGTGACTTTCCGGGACGTCTCCAGCCTCTCGCGCACCGACACCCACTCCCAGCCCTCCGCACGGTTTTTGGGGCACGGGCAGGGCTACCCTGGAACCCTGCGAGTTGCAAACAGCCTTATCACTCCTGAATATTCACCCTAAATCCAGCGAGTGCTTTATATACGGTCCGGCTGCTGTTATTAACCGCAGAGCCCGTGGCACAGCTGCCCTGGGAGTGCGTCCCACCTCCCACTCCCACCCAGAAGGGGACCAGCACAGCCTTAACCCTTCCTTTGCAAGGAAATATGTGCCTTATCCCCCCTGCTCCCACTCGGAACCCCCCACTGGTGATGTGTCGTGGGGACGAGCCCGCCCTTAACCCTTTCTTGGCGAGGCAATACATGCCCTAACCCCACTGGTGCTCCCCCTGCTCCCACTCGGGACCGCCGTGGGTGGCTGTATCCACTCACCTACGGTGCGGCGGCTCTCGAAGGCGGCTCCCGGGACTGGGAACCCACGGGAACAGGGTGGCCCGGACACGGCAGCGGGGACCCCGCCTGCTCGGGGCGGGGACGGGGCGGGAACTTCGGGGATGCTCCGGGAGCTACCGCCCACGGGGATCCCGGGGGATGCTCCCGGAGCCGCCAACCGGGAAAACTCGTCCCGTCCCCCCGCCCCCCGGCTGGGAAAGTCACTAGCAGCACAAAGAACATCATTTTGTTTCCCTTTATTAAGTGGTGACACCACCCAGGGGCAAAACTACACGGGGAAAAATTTGGGCTTCTCGTGTTTTATGCCTCGAATTGGGTCTACGTCCACGCTTTGGGTCTTTTTCCATGCATCAGAGGTTTTCCTTTCCCCCAGAAGCTCAGTAAAATACAAATTTGCTTTTAAATCTTAAATGTTTTCTGCTTCTGTCTGGAGACTGCCAAGAAAAAAAAAAACACCTTTGGTTTTCACTCGCTGCGGCAAAGACCGCAGCTGGAAAGCTGTTAGCGGCAGCTATAATTTCAACAAGCAGTTTTAATGCAGGTTAAGGGTGAATCATCTCCTGTTGCTCAGCTGGCTTTGCATCTTAAAGCAACAGAAAAGAAAAGAAAAAGGTGAAATTTAAGGCTGAACTCTGATCTGCTGTATGGTGCTGCTGGGAGAGGAGCGGAGAGGAGAGGAGAGGAGAGGAGAGGAGAGGACAGGGCAAGAGTAACAGT